TGGCAGTATGCCCTTGATATACATCAATAAACTCTTGACCGTGTAAGAAAATTAGTGGGAAAACTTCTAATTGGATGAATATAAAAATTGAAACAAAAGAACACACTGCGGTGGTTTCTACCACGTTCGCATTCATGTCGTCGTCTCACTTCAGAATCCGTATTTTGCAACAATGTATAAGTCAGAATACAGTATTATTGAACTTGTATAAAACGTAATGAATAAAGCGATTAACAAATATTGCATGTTTCAATTACAATGCTTCACAGATAAATGATTCAGAAATTACTCTGACAATATTATTTTGAATACAGTTTAGAATATACACAACCATAAATTAAAGCCGCATTTAGGTTCTCTTTAAGTATAAAAATAAAATGTAATGTGTTAAAATTTTTACTAATACTACTAATACTATTAAGTTTAATAATAATAAAACTAAGACTAATAGTAATAAAATTAAAACTATCAACTATCCATTCTTTTTTGAAAGGCTTTGTACATAAACAGTAAAACCTTTTTTATAATTTCACATTCATCGGCACTGAGCAATCAAATGAATGTATTGTGTGAATCATGTGGTAGAAAATTAAATTCAGACATAAGTTGTTGGCGCAAGTTTCCATATTTTGGACAAATCATGAGAAAGTGGAATTCATCCTCAATCACATTCATGTTGTTGTAATATATAGTATGACCACGTGAGATGCTTTGTCTCACTTGTTGAAAGCTACCCTCCATCCATCTTTTTCTTCTGCAAATAATGATAATAATTCACTGATTGTGTTAGGTTAGGAAAGCAGCGCAACATGCTGTGTGTGCTGTACTGAAAGGAAGTGCTTTCATGACACATGGTGCTGCTCCACCGTATCACCCGGCCGCTTCCTCTACAGCCAAATTCTGCATACAACAGATTGAAGAAACTGGAGGTAATTATTATAATTTATGCGTTGTCATTTGCATACTCTTCTGGCAGTTATTGTCAAGTCAATAGGAATATTGATTGTGTTTTAATGATGTTGATTTTCAAATTTTGTTGTTAATTTCAATGTGTTCTCCTCTATATATACTTGTAATGACTTTAATCTCAGTGAACAATCTTTGGACTTATTTTACTGAATCCAAAACCAGCCCTGAATGGCAAATTGGGAACAATTTGGATGAATCTATTTTTTTCTGATCAATCTATATTTTATTTTATAAATCCAGCATAGTTGACCTATTTAAAATGACCAATCAAGATACTTACAGCGGTCAAGATAAGCCATTTAATCTATTTTGATTGACCAATTTGAAATGACCAAACCATCTACATTATAATGACATTTTAGAAATGTCATGCCAATCCCATTGATTGCCTGATCTGCCATGTATGTAAAATAGTAAAACAAAAATTTAAACGTAGTATTTTATTTTTGCTGTTGTAGGGGCAGGTGAACCAAGAGCTACTCTCCATGTACTTGGATTATTGAAGGACATCTTGGGTGTATTCCCACAAACTAGTTTAAGAGCGACGTGCGAGACCCTCCTTCGTGTTATGACACTTAGTAACGTGGTAAGTAATAACGCAATAAACAATTATAAATAAACGCACAAAAATTAACGTCAGTCTTAAATATAATTTTTTTTTTACTTTTTCCAGTTAATAACATCATGTGCGATGCAGGCTCTTCACGGTATGTTTATGTCAAAACCAAAATCAAGTAGTCTACCAGCTGACTTGAATGCGCAGTTAATAAACGCACTGTACGACTACCAGCCCAACGAGAACGACGTCCAACCTATCTTGGCATGGTTAGCTGTTATGCAGACAGCACTCTGTAATTTGCAGAGGTATGTTCAAGGGCAAATAAATAAAAGGGTTTTTGATCTCAGTGGTAATATGATAGTTAAATAGATAGAGATCGATATGTTGACAATCACAGTTACAAACAAAAATAACCAAATTAATTGTCACATGTTGTTCAATCACTTCTTTTTTGTGATTGTTTCTGTTGTCAGACTGGACGAGAGACTGTGCGTTAGTCACTTACCTCGATTGTTCACTTCAGCCATGAAGTGTTTGGCATCTGAGAAAATAGAAATAACTAAAGCCGCATCACATACTTTGAAGGTAAAGCTTTGTTTACTTTTTATTTGCATAATTTCATAATACACGACATTATTTTACCATTCAATAGTAATTTCCTGTATAAAAAAAGATGCGACAAAAGCCATAAGGAAATAATGCTTTTGAATACATTGTTCTTGTTTGCACACAGTTGTCAAAATTACTATTTATAAGTGTTTTATGGACTGTTCAGTGTTCTAAAGTGATATTATTTCTAATATTTAAACATCCAGTACTGAACTATCAACGACTGCTGAAATCCTCTAACGGATAGACAAAATGAATGGAGGGGAGGTGCATCAGTAAGCGATATGCTAATACAATCAAGAATCCAGACATGTAACTTATCTTACACTTTACACACAGGAGTTGTTGAACGAGTGTGTCAAACCCGCCGCTGGGCGACTGGAAGCTGAAGTCAAGAGTTCCCCGCCTGGTTCACCGACTGCTGCATATAAAATGTTCAAATCTGTAGAGAATGGACTGGGTTACAAGTACCATGCATCGTGGGGTTTAGTGCTGCAGACACTCGGAGTATTCTTTCAGGTTTGTACTACAGTCTCGCTTTGAAACCATTCCATGGATACCATCATGTAATATTCCATATGTTGGATATTAATGATGATTTAGGTCGATTTACTTCACTTTAAACCACAGCAGAGGCAAGACTATAAAGTTTTGACAATCTTCGCTAAATCAATTTTTGTTTGATCACCTTGGCTAGCTTTTGTAGAATAGAATATAACCCTCTCAAGCAGGTTCTGTTGAGTGGGGGTATCACCCTCTGTGAATTTTGCAGTATAACCCTTTCAACCAGCCTCAGCATTACCATACTGTCGTGTCATTAATAAAATGTTTATTATATAAACTTAGTCACTGGTAATTAGATAATTATCATTACCACAGAATTATAATAATTCTACTCAATGCTTTAAAGTATGATTTGTTTACATTAATCTTTTCCAGGTTTTTGGCAGACACTGTCCACCGATGTTGAAGAAATGTCTGCAGTCAATGGCTGATTTACGAAGTACGCATCATTTTCTGTATATCTATGATTTAGATAAAGCTGTGGGAATGGCCATTAGATCCATGGGACCCAAGGAAGTACTGAATGCTATACCCCTACAGATTACTGGAGATGAGTAAGTGGAAATGTCTTGACAATATGCACTCAATATGGCTGCTTTTAATCTCTATTTTTGGGGCATACCCTTTAAGATTATACATCCTGGTACTTATTTATGATGCCTTAAGGTCATACATCCTGGTACTTATTTATGACACCTTAAGGTCATACATCCTGGTACTTATTTATGATGCCTTAAGGTCATACATCCTGGTACTTATTTATGATGCCTTAAGGTCATACATCCTGGTACTTATTTATGATGCCTTAGGGAAGAGTAGGAAATCAAACTCGCGGTTTACCGCGGTCATTACCACGGTGGTGGTGGGTGCTCGCCGGTCGACCGCATTTTATGCAAATTTATGCATAGATTCCATGACCCCGGTTTACCGCGGTCATGTGCGGTAGGCTCGCATGGCAATTTACACCCTATTGTTAAGACTATGAATGGACACAATAGACTGGGAAACTA